ATTGCTGTGTGCTGTCTTTCGTCTGTCAGCGTCTTGTTGTCTCTGTTTTTTCTTTACTGCAACGTCGCGTATCGACACAAAAGGTAAGTTTGTCCATATATAGTCAATCCCTCAACCTCCATCCGAGAAATAGTCTCCTTCACGGTTCTCTGCGGTATCTTGAAAGGTAGCCGTGCCTTTGCATCGAAGCGAGACAACCGTTGAGCGTGCAGTGATAGATACCTGTGAATAATTGTCTGTAGGTCTCTATCATTGCACGCTCAACGGTCGTCTCACTTCGATGCAGAGGCACGGCTACCTTTCAAGATGGCGCAGGTAACCGTGAAGAAGACTATTCAAATCTTCAATACTTTCTCTTATTTTGTGTCACCCGGGATCTTCACTACTGTTAGAACAAAGATTGTGATTTGATGAAATAAGAAAGAGAGACAGGCAGCCCATACAAAAACAAAAATGTCCAGTAGAACGAAAGGCATCGTCTGACATAATCTTGCAATTCTTTGTTTTTGTTGTCACGATCAATCACAAGMTTCGTTATGACGTTAGTGGTCGACYCCGTCTCTATGTTGACSTTTGTTGTGGAGTKCACTCGCCTCGGTTAGAATTCGTCTGCCACCCTTTCGTTTTTAATTCACTTGTATATTTCATTATAAGAAAATTCCGCCGTTTTTGCGGAMGGTCMCTTACTGACAATCTTCTCAGACTACTGCCTAAATCTCCCGTATCTTCTGGCTACGGACTTGCTAKTTTCTGAGTAGGATTTCCAAAGAATTTAAACCCTGACTTCAGACTGAACAATGAGCTAACGTTAATTTTTGGTATTTTCTGGCAGGTTTATTAAGATGTCCAGTCCTAATATCAACAACTTGATTATATCTGGATGTATATTAGCGTATATATCGGTCATTTTATTCGCTATTGATGGAAAACATTTGAATAGTTTCATCTGTCAGGTGAGTGCTAATGATACTGCAATTTTGGAAATACTTTTGGTAAATTAGGCTGMAAAATGCATTGCAAGCCAACAATAGGCAACGTGCATACAACGTGGAATTATATGCAATAAAAAGTATGATGGGAATTCGGAAATCCTCGCAGTCTTTATAATCCCTAGAACAACCTCCCAAAAGCTGTTTGCAACATTTTTGTGTTCAGCTACTGAACAAGACACCCTGCACAACTGCTTCTTTGTTTGCAACAAAATAGACAAAAACKGCCTATATGCACGTGATTGAAAAGTGCGAGGACTACAACTCCCATCACAAAAAAAAGAAAAAAAACTCCCATCATGCTTTGTTACAAAATGGCGTTCCTGAACATTGCCTAGATTTGACAACATGTACGACTTAKGATTTTTACACAATGAAATGTTTTACTGTCAGCTGTTGACCCTAAATCTTAGCCAAATCCGTGTTTTTCTTTTTTGGAATTTCACTCGTTTTATAGGTTTATAACTGACGATTAAAACACACTTGACTCTTTTAGTATTTAACAATTAGACCTCGAGGTCGAATGGACTACGAGCTAATAGCCCATGAGCTGGCCGAGTAAGCGAGGCCGAATGGGCTACTAGCTCGTAGTCCACGAGGCCGAGAGGTCTAATTGTTATAGTATATACATACCAATCGGTCAAATAATGAAAAAAAATTGAAATATCCTTAAAATAATTTGTAATTTGTAAAATAATAGTGGTAGAGTAGCCAATCACATGAGTGATAGACCATTAGTATGTTTATACTAATACTCGTTGTCAAATCTCAATTAAAATTCTCTATTGTTGGGCTGCCTAACAATCTTTACAAGCGTATTTTTAGAGATCAATATTTCTCTTTTATTTGTGGCATCGTAGGCTCGAGTTTTCACACTTAATATTGGGTTTACATTGGCTTTTGGCTCAATGTTCTCAAAGACTTGGAGGGTGCACCGGATAACYAGAAAACTACGAACAAAGCAAAGGGTAAGAAGCATGCATACACGACACTGGTGAAAAACGCACTGCGCATGTCCACAGCTTTCCCACTGAAATCTGCCTATTCTCCTTTGTAAAGCGATTTTTGTAAAAGTTTTTTTTACAATTTATAAGCTCGTTCACCGATATATAAGATTCATATTTCCATCAATCTTTGTTCATGATAGGTTCTTTTAGTGTGTAGTTTCTATTTTTATCTTGTCATTTCTATTTTGAGAAAATGAGGTTTTTCGTAGTGTTTTCTGTGTTGTCGCTGTAAATCGCCAGGCGCTCTGTTTACAGATTTCCAGACGCGAGCGCCCACTGGCGGGAAAGCTGTGGGCATGCGCAGTGCGTTTTTTACCATTGTTTGCATACACTTATCGTAACGTCAATATTTCACATAAGAGAAACGATCCCCAATTTTATCTAATTTAACGTCGCGTTGGTTAACTACGAGCCGATATTCAAACCAGTTCACAAAAATTGCTTTGTCTCGTGCACTCGAAAAAAATTTGCCGATTTTCCTATGAATTTTTATTAGAAATTTCAATTTGACTTCACGTTCGGCAACTGCGGACCAACGTTCTGTTTTGTTTTGTCTTTCTGCTCGCGAACGGAAAAAGTCTGCTTTTTACTTTTTTAAATATCGACTGAACACTTGATAAACTAAGCCTTGTAGGGTTCTGCATTTCAAAACTGACTAAAAAATGCCCAGCCGACTGAAATAACAATAGTGAATATATATGGACTCTACGAAACTAGAATTCACCACAAAAATTCACTTTGATTTTTTTCTGTTATGATTTAATTCACTCTAAAAACACTGGAAAAAATCGCGCACTTTTAAGGTTGTAAATTTGATGTAAATATGATGTAAGTGTCCAAAATGATATAAATTTCATGTAAGTTTGAAGTAAATGATTTATATCAAATTTACATCATTTTGGACACTTACATCATATTTACATCAAATTTACAAACTTTAAAGTGCACTTCCGGTCAGGGCACTGCATATTCTAATGGATTTCATTTCTTCATTATATGACATTTGTCTACCTACAGAGGATCAAAGATGTTCATTTGCTTGCAATGGTCATGGCGTTCCTAGTGGCTGACGTCATCACATTAGTCGCGTTGACGATAATTAGTCCAATCACAAAGGATTATCATTGGTTTGATTCGAAGGTAAGTTAGCTGAAGTCCCAAAGGTTATTTCAAAGTAAAAACGATTTTCTTAATTTTAAAAAGGTTTTAAAATGAAATTATGACAGCCTGGCTAACTATCATTAGTATAAACATACTAATGGTCTATCACTCATACTGCGCTGTGATTGGCTACTCTACTAATGGTCTATCACTCATACTGCGCTGTGATTGGCTACTCTACTAATGGTCTAATTTGTGATAGACCACTCGCGGGAAAATCAAAATGAATAAATTGTAAATTGTAAATTATTTTAAGGATATTTCAATTTGTTTTCATTATTTGACCGATTAGTATGTTTATACTAAAACAATTAGACCTCTCGGCCTCGTGGACTACGAGCTAATAACCGATTCGGCCTCGCGGACTCGGCCTCATGGGCTATTAGCTCGTAGTCCACTCGACCTCGAGGTCTAATTGTTAATTAGATGCAAAAAGTTTCACAATTCAGGAAAAAAAATCATTTTGAAAAGCATCATTTATGGCTGTTTTTGTTATCGTACGTAGGATTCATTKTTTAAATACTATGCTTTGAAATTAATAAACGTACGGAGAACAAGCAAATCTTGGTATTTAAATCATTTATGACGTCAAGTGCGTATTCTAATTTCAATGTTTAATGTGCTCTGAAACAATCCTCCCGAAACTGTATAATTTTTGTTTTTTGGCTAACTGCATGTACTTCTGGTAAGATATATTGTATTTAGAAAAATTATGGAGAAATTAAAATTGCGCTGACGTTTTTGTGTATAATGAATAAGTACATACGTTGACGTCAACAAACTTGCATGCGCTCTTGTTCCTAATTTTCGCTCATTAGTCTAATTTCATCTTGAAAGGTAGCCGTGCCTTTACGTCGAAGCGAGACAACCGTTGAGCGTGCAATGATAGATACCTGTAAATAATTGTCAGTAGGTGCGAAAGAAGGTCTCTTTCATTGTACGCTCAACGGTCGTCTCACTTCAATTCAAAGGCACGGTTACCTTTCAAGATGGCGCAGGTAACCTTGAAGGAGACTATCACATCCAGTGATACTTGGCAAATCTCTCTGGTGACCATAATCCTTAGCGTTAAAACAACTACAGAATATTTTCATGTGACGTCATAATGAAATAGGTCAATTCTATCCTCAGCCAAAGAGTCCAACAGCTGCTGACGTCATATACCGGAAAAAGGTGGCGTACTGTAAGATAGATCACGTGTTATGGCTCGTGATAGTGTATGGGACTAAAACTCTTCTTCTTGTCTTTGGGTTGTTTTTGGCTTGGGAAACGAGGAAAGTGAAAATAAACGCACTGAACGATTCTCAGAATACTGGTAAGACATTTGACGTTTTAGATTCTCAGAATACTGGTAAGACATTTGACGTTTTAGATTCTCAG